GCGAAGCAAAAAGCAAATGCGAAGCAAATGCGAAGCAAAAAGCAAATTGCGAAGCAAATAGCAAATGCGAAGCAAATGCGAAGCAAAAAGCAAATGCGAAGCAAATGCGACAGGCCGTGCCCCAGGTGGTTCTAACTGATCCCCTTCGAGTTTGAGTTCAAGTTCGAGTTCGAGTTCGGGTTCGAGTTCGATGCGCGAGATTGCGTGGATCGAGCGAGAGGGGGATGGACCAGAGTTCGAGTTCGAGTTCGGATCGACAACAATTATAGAGCCATGGGGGTGGACCAGTTCGAGTTCGAGTTCGGATCGACAACAATTAGAGCCGGGGGGGTGGACCATTTCGAGTTCGAGTTCGGATCGACAACAATTAGAGCCAGAGGGGTGGACGAGTTCGAGTTCGAGTTCGGATCGACAACAACTATATAGAGCCGGGGGGGGGTGGACCGGTTCGAGTTCGAGTTCGAGTTCGGATCGACAACAATAATTATAGCCCCGGGGGGGGTGGACCGGTTCGAGTTTGAGTTCGAGTTCGGATCGGCGACTAAGGGACTTATACAAGGGGGGGTGGACCAGTTCGTGTTCGAGTTCGGATCGACCCACAACAACAGCAACGAGAACCAACAGCAACGACAACAACCACAACCGCAATCGCCACGACCCACAACAAAGAAGAAGAACAGGAACCAACCAAGCTAGCAACAAAGCAATCAACCTGTTGAAAGTATCCGCGCTGCGCAAACAGTCTCATCTTTGCAGCCAACACTTAGTTTTATTAGGATCTGGTGCGCGGGGGGGGGGCCCTGCGCCCCCCCCCCCCACCCCCCCCCGCGCCACGAAACCCGCGCCTGCCACGAAATCAACATTTTAGTGTGAACTCCCCGCGGCAAAAAACCTGCTAACCAACCAACCAACCAACAGCCACCTGCCAGCGGCGCCAGCAGCAACCAGCCAACTGACCACAACGTAGCATCCCTTTTGTGGGCCATGCGAGGGTAAAATTTAGAATAGGAAGAAGCCTATTGCAACGTGGCATGCCTTTTTTGGGCCACACGAAGATACAGTTTAGAGGAGGAAAAGCCATTGCAACGTAGCATTCCTTCCGTGGGCAGTTCCAAGGTAAAGTTTACCCTATAGATCAGCTGAGGTTAAAACAACCTGTGAGTTTTTTTGTTTCGTGAGGTTAATTCTAACCTCACTGAGGTTATACTTAAGAATAACCTCTGAGGTTATTCTTATTCTGCTGTTGTTCTAGAAAATAACATCAGAATGGTTTACCACGTGGACTGTCAAGACACTTGTTTTTCACATTGGCACCTTGAGGTGGATTTGTGAAAGTATTTGTAGAACATATGTGGCCCATGTTGTGCTAAATGTATTTGTAAATGTTTTTGAATACTTTGATCAGAACATGAAAACTGTGGCCCAGATGTATCTTTGTTGCCACATGTTGGCACACATTCTTTGGGAGATGTTGTGGCACACAGGAAGTGAACAAATGCAATCTTCTTTGCATGGGGAAATGAAGATTGTGTTTTTCTTTGCAGCCTGTCACATGTTGGCACACAGTCTTTGGAAGAAGTGCATTTGATTCCTGGGGGCATATGCACATCTCACCATGAAATCCTTTGAGAACTATATGTGTATTTCATTGATTTTGATGTGTTTTGCTTACACACTCTTGGGAAGATGTACATGTGAACCTTCTTGACTTATGTGCATTTCATTGTGGTGCCTTTTGAAGACTATGTGCATTTCATTCCTTTTGAGCTGTTTCCTGTTTCCTTGTACAGTCTTTGGCACATGGACTATGTGCTTTTCATTGTGGAACCTTTTGAAAACTATGTGTATTTCATTCCTTTTGAGCCGTTGCCTGTTTCCTTGTACAGTCTTTGGCACATGGACTATGTGCTTTTCATTGTGGAACCTTTTGACAACTATTTGCATTTCATTTCTTTTGAGCTGTTTTCCCACCAAGTTTTCCTACCAGGTTTCATTCCTTTTGAGCCATGACCCCCAAAGGCAATTTGAATTGTAGGCTGAAGCCTGATCCAGCCCTGGGCCTCAAAGACCTCAATCAAGCCTATCATGGACTGGCTTCAGGAGAAAGGGACCCATGACATGTTGACTTTGCTTGAGCCTGCCACTGGAGAAGCTACTTCGAAGACAAGGCCCCTGCCAGATTGGCTGGCCAATTTGGTTCCTTTGCTGAGAAAGCTGGTTGCTGTAGATAAGAAGTGCATCTTCCCACAAAATTAAATGCAAGAGGCATTGGAAAAAATCCAGGCAGACCATTACAGAATCAACTTTTCCAGGCTCAGGGACGATCAGTTCATTGACAAATGCTCATTGTACATCCGGGCTGCTGCATCCCAAATGAGGGACTTGAAAGCCAAAGGGGATGTTTACCAAAGGGCAATGAAAAGGGCTTCTCTCAAGGAAAAGCAGGCGCTTGATGGTTTGCTTGATGAAATGGTTTTGCGGCAGAACTTGAGGGAGAGGTTCAGGTGTCCAAGGGGCCTGCCAAGAAGATTGGCCCTGGTCCTTGTCTAAGCCCACCCAAGACCATTTTCAGGAGGATCCTGACCAAGAGCCCAAGCAACCCAGACCCACCAAAAGAAACCTCGCTGGCCTTGGTTCCATATAACCCAACACAACAAAGCATGGCAAGGACAGCAAAGGCTAAGCTTCAGGACCTGACTTCAGATGACATGGATCTTCTGAGGGAGGCTTTGAAGGAAGAAGCTTCTTGTGCTCCAAAGAGAAAGACGCAGAACAGGATTGATGTTCACTGTTGGACTTTGCCTTCTAAATGCATGCTTGAGCCATGTTATGTTAAAACAGGAGCCTTTCACCTGAAAGCACTGGGCCTTCACCAAAGAAAAAGCTGAGGCACGTTTGAATGTTTGTTGTTGTGCTGTTGTGGTTGCAGCACAGTGCTTTTGGCAAGTGTTGCCCTATTGAAATTTTGTGAGGAAGAAGCCTAGCAGTGCAAAACTTTGCAAGAAGCCAAGCATTGCAACACCTTCCAAGAAGCCAAGCATGGCCTCACCAAAGAAGAAACTAAGTTGCAAGTTATTGGGCCCAATGATGGATTTCAATGGTTGTGTGCCCTTGCCTTGTGTGAGGAAGTGTAGCTTCAGGCACAGAGCCACTTCCAGTGCAAACCACAGGGCCAGGAAAGCTGCTGAAAGGATGGGCCATAGTCCAGAAACTGCCAAAGCACTGGGCAGGTCTGCTGCAGGAAGTTGCCAGGCAAATTGACCTGGGAATTTTGTCTGAGGATTGATTTTCAGCCACTGAGCGCCCTTCCAAGGAAAAGTTGGCCTGCTGCTTTTTTGCAAAAGTTGTAGTGGCCTGGTGGACAGATGTGGTGGCTTTTTTGAAAGCTATTTGAGAGTCATTTGGAACCTATTGAAAATTATTTGCACAATTGTAGGCCCCAAACAGGTGGGACAACAAGAAGCATTCCCATTTGGAAGCTGCTTCTGTGAGAGCTATTTGGAAACTATTTGTGAAAGTTATTTGGAAGCTATGCGTGAGAGTTACAAATATTTTGTTCTTGTTCTATGAGAGTTATTTGAAGCTATTTGCTGGTCAGCCAAGGCTGGGCAACAGGACATGACAGAAGATGACATGCATCTTCTCACATGGAGGGTTTGAGGGAAAAGCTAGACTTTTTCAGAAGTTTTGGCTAAGTTATATAATAGTTCAGCACTTAAGCGCAAACACAAACTTGCTTTGTGAAAGGAATGGCACCAACTTTTGTCAGCCTGAGGGTTTCTCTTGAATGTGTCAAGGCATTACATGTGCTGCAGCTGCTTGTCAAGAAAGCTCAACCACTTGTATGGACACAGCAGTGCTGCTTATAAGTTCAAGAACATTTCACCATATAGTTACGTTTCACAGAGCAAACATTTAATACTACTATGTAGAAACCGATCATGGTAGAGGTGGAACATACAAGTGTCTTGCAGCAAGGCCCATGGACAGAACACCATTGTATGGACATCACTTCCTACCATTTGTTTTCTCTTCCTTTGCCTCCCTCCCATCATGTCTGAACTGCGCGCCTACATCAAGAATCTGCCATAT